TCTACTTCCATCCCTAAAATGCATGTATGGAATGAATTTTTCTAAAGATACATTAGAGTCAATTGAAGATTTTTTTGTCCTTAGCTTTGTCTTAATTTATTACTGAAGTAACAACTGATAGAAGTTTTAAGGATGATTTTCTGCTCAGTCTTTTCTGTACTACAATTTAGCTTTGTAATTCTGTTTCACAACTTTTTAGAGTCATTGGAGGGAGTAAATATTAGACTTCACTATGCATTTGGGCTTGTGTTGATCTCTCCCCTTTTCCCATCCCTCCTTTCCTAAGACATTTAGTGGCCCAGTCTCCATTAAAAGCACTAGGTCTTATCTCTGTAGAGGTGTATACCTTCTGAAAATCTGTCATATAGTTTGCAGAAGATGTCTTAAGATGCCTTTAAAAAGATTCTTAAGGAATTTTTCTTTTAAAAAACAATGCAGACAACATTGTTTAGACATCTTAATTGTTACAATTAATATTTTTAAGTAGCGACTCTGAATACTATGTGGAAGATCACCCTAGTACTATAGCATTGAAATACATATTAAAGCTAAATTCTATGTGGAAAATAAACCAGCAACAGTTGGATATTGAAAAACGGAATGGTGAACCTGTTAGCAAAATATGCTTGGTTTAGCTAGAAGCAGGTACCCTTTAGAATCATAGAATAGAATCATAGAATAGTCTAGGTTGGAAGGGACCTTGAAGAGCATCAAGTACAGCAATCCACTTAACACTGCCAAACCCCACCACTAAACCATGTCCCTCAGCATCACGTCTACACATCTTTTCAATACCTCCAGGGATGGTGACTCCCACGCTTCCCTGGGCAGCCTGTTCCAATGCTTAACAACCCTTTCTGTGAAGAACTTTTTCCTAACATCCATCCCAGATCTAACCTGGTGTAATTTGAGGCCATTTCCTCTTGTTCTGTCACTTGTTACTAGCAAGAAGAGGTCGACCCCCACCTCTCTACAACCTCGTTAACTAGTATGAAGTATCAGACCTTCAATTAACATCTGTAGACAGAAATTCACACCGAGGATGTGTATCCCAAGATTGACAATGAAAAAATAAGTTCATGGTCATATATTTCCTTGGACTTCTTCAGTGTTCTTTTTCATATAATTTGCTATCCATTGTTGTAGATTATACCATCTGAAGTCTTCATATTTAGAAACTCCACAGCTGATTAGCGGAGTTTGCTGTACCTTCATAATGTAACTTCTACTTTTTAAAAGCTAAAATTGGTGGAATTATTACAAAATTAACATTTAAATGAAAAGCACTCATTACTACCCTGTCTTAAAACTGTAGTGCATAAATTCAGTTTATTTCCCACTTAGGAGAGCTCTAAATAGGATTATGTCAAATTACTTGAGACACCACCTCACTTTATAGGAGGCAACTTCCAGCGTGAGGCTTTAGTGGAGAAGTAGAATTATCATTCATGACAGAAGCATGCTTTGCACAGAAGACAGAGCTTTTTGCTAAGTCAATATCAGCCTGAAATGATCAAAGTACAGTACAAAAATACAAAGTTATTTGAATGAGTGAGTCCCCAACACCATCAGAATAGAGTAGCATATCAGCTGCTTTTTTGCACAGTTCTAATGTTCTGTAGGCTTCTTAAAAATATTTAATCAAAAAATTCTTCAGAGTTTCAGAAGTTGAAACACCTGAAAACAGCCATTTAAATTCACTCACTAGTGCTTGGAGATAGAGAGGCCACCTACCATTTTTGAAAGCTGAGATATCTACAGTTAAGGTGATTTGAGGTAGGATTAAACAGACATGGTGTTACAGCTGAATTAAAATTCAGTGTCAGAGTGCATGCAGTAATAGTTGTTACTTGTCTACAAGTGTGTTCCTCGTGTCTGTTGCTCTATGTGCAAACATGATCAGATGTGTCATCTCCACTAACAGAAGTGTTGATCTGAAACTTTCAACTGTAGAAAATGAATGTCCACTCTGTGTGTTTTTTAGTCTCGTTGACCTTTGTTTTCAATTGTCTCTCGGCTGTCATGGATTTAATGTTTTGGTATTAATAGTTTTGAATAGAATTTATATTTATAGAATTTAATTTTTTGATAATGATTCAATTAATTGTGGGGTTTTTTTTAAATTTGGATTGAGTTTACTTGTATGACACTATTTGTCAGCTTTTAGTCTACCCTGTTAGTTCATGTTAAATAAATCTGACAGTCCTCTAAATACAAAATAAATGTAGTTTTGTAGGCATTGAACTGCAGCTTTACTATTTATTTTAAGGTGTTCAGAGGTGCGTCTTACCACGGTAGCTGAGAATTTAATGTAAGTTAGTATAATTATCTTAATACTGTTGAGATAAGAAATTAATCACATCTTCCAAGTGGAAAACAGAAAAACAGGGATATAAACACTTTTATTAGTATAGCACAAATATTTATTGTTAATAAATGTATTCACATGTTATAAAATGTACCAGCATTACATTATACCTGGTTTTCAAATGAGAAAATCTAAGTATTTGTGCAAAACAGGGGTTCTTGAATGCCAGTTCAGTGTTGTTTTTTTTCCTCCTCCAAGGCACTTTATTTCTTCTCTCTAACAACATTACTCAGCTAACCTGTCAGAAGTCAAGGTTTTGGTAGTCAGAACAAAATCCAGATAACATCGAGTTTGGTCCAGAGCCCTACGCACAGTCATCATAGATGCATTGTTCATGTCGCAGCATTTAGAACCTTTGGTTGCTCTACTGATATTTCCAGTTAGCTGTCAAGACAAGGACATGACTGTAATTACTATATGCTATTTATAGACATTGCTTATTTACCAAGCTGAGGTTTGCTTTCTTACAGGTCTTCCTGAATGCTTTAGTTCCACATCTGTACTATTTTCCAGACTTCCTTAAATTAAGTAGAAAGCAATCACTCTGATGATATTAGGGCCCAATATGCATTTCAGGGCACTTAATTCTTCACCTTCCTTGGTTGTTTTTTTTTGTGGTTTTTTTTTTTAAAAGTCAAACTGGCAAAACACAGATCAACATTGCACATATATCTGCAAAGATAAGTAATCTTTGCAAAGCCACAATGAAATCACTGGGACTCAGTTTTTACACACGAATCTGGTTTTGTATTCTGATACAAGGTTGAATTCTGAAAGTACACAGATGTACACATCAGTTAAGGCAGTGCAAGATGCAAAGTGTTTTCTTGCAAATATGTGAAGTTTGAAAGCACTCAAAATAGTAAACTGTTATGATGAACAAGAAGATGACTAAATTCAGAAAAAAATGTTTGGGAAAAGCTCTCAAACAGACAACAGAGGACTATCTACTGGAAGCAGTTCAAAAGATGCAGTGAGTGTCTCTTGCAGGCAATTGTCAA